TGACCATGACCCCTAAACTTTTCTGGATGGTTAGAGATGAGAAGGCAAAAACATAAACATTCTCTTTGGGCAAGGCTTTCTCAATTTTCCTGTTTGGGGATAATAAAGCATGAGTTTTAATTAAGTTTGTAGACTTACCATCTGTGAGCATCTGGAGTTTCATTCTGTTGCAGTGTTGAAGCAAGTGCACCAATTCCAATTCTGAAAGTATAGAATATGTAGAACAAATAGCAAGGTAATGGACAGCAGTTATTTTATTTTCCTTAAGGTCACTTTTCATTCTGTATATGAGTCTACGAAAGAATTTATATCACCGTTCAAAGTCATTTATATTCTATTATCATATGCACAAAAGTTCATAATAAAACTATCTTTTTTCTCTTTTAATGATTTGCTAAATTTCAGATTTTTTATTCTAAGCTAACCACTCTTGAACTACAGTTTCCTGGGACCACTGTTTTTCTAATAGATAAGACAAAAGCATTCATTTTGTTTAGAAAGCTAGTTGGGTTTTTTTGTTGTTGTTGTCTTTTTTTTTTTTTAGGTATTGCTATAAAAAGTAATTCTGAGATGTGCTGTTTTTTGCCTAAAAGAAAGTCTGGAAAACAGAAAGTTCTGGTTGTAACAACATTTTCAAAATGATAGAATAATTTTTTTATCTATAAGGTTAAATAAGATGATACTGAGACCATTTTTAGGTTACAAAGCAGGAAAACAATGTTAATTGATGCTAAATCATCCAGAGTACAGTTAAAATCATAGCATAAAATTACCATCATTAATATGTAATTTAATTATCAGTTCTAGATAGCATATGTTGTTGGAAATGCATTTAAACTAGTCTTTTGTTATAATTGTTGCCAAAAACATTGATCAAATAACATATATTTCTGCAAATGGAGACAATGTGATATTGTAGAAAAGCACAATCACTAGACCTAAACCTTAGCTCCAAAGAAATATCAATAATTTACATGTACTTTCAGATAGAAGTATCTTAACACCCTATAAAATAGCAGACTTCTGTCAGTTAAATGGAAATCTACATTTAAAATATAAATTGGTGTCTTGAGATTTTTAAAAAAGCATTTTCTATGGAAAGTATAGTACATGTTTTAGTTATCTATTGCTGTGCATAAAACTACCCCAAACCTTCTTAACCAGCAGCTATTTTATCATATAGTATAATTTCTAAGGGATAGAATTTTGCAAAGGAGTCAGCTGAATGATTTTTTTTTTTTTTTAATTTGACCTTAACTGAGTCAGTTGGTGATAATCATCTGACAGATGGTTTGGTCTGAAAAATCTTAAACAGCTTTATTTACATGGTTTTTTTGTTTGTTTGTTTGTTTTTCCTTACTAATGATGACTAGAAAATAGTCAACCAGAGTGCCTACTCAGGCTTCTTCTACTGGCTTGGGATTCCTCACAGTGTGGCAGTCTCAAGATAATCAGACTTATGGAGTGGCTCAGGGCTCCAGTGAATCGTTTTCAATAGATCTAGGCAAATGTTGCAAAGCTTTTCACAACTTAGCCTTAAAAGTCCCAGACTGTCACATGCTCTTAGTTTTATTGATTTCCACTAACACTAATCCAAATCAAGAGGGGTAGAAATAAACATTGCCCTTCAGTGAGAGAAGTAACAAAGCATTTATGTCCACCTTTAATCTAACACAATATACAAACAAAATAGTATATATTTCATGAATATACAAATTGACATATTTTTACACATTGGATGTGCCTGAATTATCACTACTCAGATTTAAAAAAAACAGAACACTACCTGCTCTCTAGTAGCTCCACTTTTTTCTCTCTTTTTTCAGTTATTAGCCACTCCCTGAAAACCAACCAGTACCCTAACTTTATTTTTATTTATTTATTATTATTATTTTTCTTTTAGATGGAGTCTCACGCTGCCCCCAGGCTGGAGTGCAGTGGCACATTCTTGTGTCACAGCAACCTCCATCTCCTGGGTTGAAGCAATTCTCCTGTCTCAGCCTCCCGAGTAGCTGGGATTACAGGTGCACACCACCACACCCAGCTAATTTTTGTATTTTTAGTACAGACAGGGTATCACCATGCTGGCCAAGCTGGTCTCAAACTGCTAACCTCATGATCCACCCACCTCAGCCTCCCAAAGTGCTGAGATTACAGGTGTGAGCCACCATGCCCAGCCCAATATCCTAACTTGTAAAAGCATAGATTAGTTCTTGTGCTTTATGATAGTGGAGTCAGAACTCTATTTCGTTTAAACCTAGCTTCTTTTGACCAATATATTATATATGGGAGAATTCATCTGTATTGTTAAGTATAGTTTCAGTGTTTATTTTCATTGCTATAAAGTATCTACTGTGAGAATTGTAGGGGAGGCAAAACTTTATCTCTACTCTCTTAAGGTTCTAGCTGGTCTTGAGAATTAAATTTAAAAAAAGATAGAATAGCAAGAAAAAAAAAATCACAGCTTAGGTTTTACATGACACCAGAGCCATCTTAAGTAATTGGAAACCCAAAGAAGTGGCAAAACCCTGATGCTTTTATATTAGGTTGACAAAAGAGAGGCCATTGTGGAAAAATAACAAATCATGTACAAAGCATAAGAAATGTAAGAATCATTTTTAAAAGGTGTGTTTGTATAGAATTCTCTTAGCTATGACTCCACACTGCAGAATGTTTCTTTTTTCCTGGTACAGGGAGGATATCTTTCACATGGGAGTTTTTATCACCAATTTTCAGAAGCAAAGGGGAGTTTAAAATGTTTTTCTTGCATCTGTTGTTTCTTGAGTTTGTTTAGATCAAAATAATCTTTATACCAAAGTGGCAAAATTTGGGGAACATATTCTTTCACCCTTCAGAATAGAACAAAATTAGTTTACCCATTCTATTTCAGAGCACATAGAATATTTAAATCGTTTCTAGTTTTGGCTATGTCTTAAAAGTACAGATGTCTTCTCATTTGTACTCTTTTTCTTTCTAGATACAAGAAACAACTTTTCCACAGTATCACGTGGAATAATAGAACTGTTTTTTCATATTAAAAAAAGTGGGACAGACTATTGATAATTTTCTGCTAACATATATTCTATACGTATTTGGTGGAGATGATGTTGAAAATCCATAACAGCCCAAATCAATAATTTTTAAGGGGAAAGACACTCTTGTCCCTGGAAAAAGTTACTTTAAGGTATCACTATTTCTTTTTTTAATAAACTTTTTTATTGTGAGTATTTAAGATATACAATATGATGTTATGGGATACAAAAAGACTATAGTGAAACAAGTTAAAATATTCATCATCTCTCATAGTTACCTTTTTTTGTTTCTGTAGCAAGAGCAGCTAAAATCTACTCATTTAGCATAAATCCAAAATGCAGTATAATTTAGTTACCTATAGCCTTGATGTTATAGTATCTCTAGACTTGTTCATCCTATATAGTTGCTACTTTGTATCCTCTGACCCTATTTCCGCCTCACTGCCTCCTCGTACCCTTGCTAACCACTGTTTTGATCTATTTGTATATTTGAATATTTTTTAGCTTCCACATGTAAGCAAGATCATACTACCCAAAGGATTATAAATCATTTTGCTATAAAGACACATGCAAACATATATTTATTGCAGCACTATTTACAATAGCAAAGACTTGGAACCAACTCAAATGCCCATCAGTGATAGACTAGATAAAGAAAATATGGCACATATACACCACGGAATACTATGCGACCATAAAAATAATGAGTTCATGTCCTTTACAGGGACAGGATGAAACTGGAAGCCGTCATTTTCAGCAAACTAACACAGGAACAGAAAACCAAACACCGCATGTTCTCACTAGTAAGTGGGAGTTGAACAATGAGAACACATGGCTACAGGGAGGGGAATATCACAGACTTGGGCCCGTTGGGGACAGGGCAAGGGGAGGGAGAGCATTAGGACAAATACCTAATGCATGTGGGGCTTAAAATCTAGATGACAGGTTGATAGATGCAGGAAACCACCATGGCACAATTATACCTATGTAACAAACATGCACATTTGATATATGTATCTCAGCATTTAAAGTAAAAAAAAAAAGAGAGAGAGAGGGAGATTATGCAATATATTTCGTTCCATATCTGGCTTATTTCACTTATATTTTTCCAACTTTTATGTTCAAGGGTACATGTGCAGGATGTGCAGGTTTGTTACACAGGTAAACATGTGCCATGGTGGTTTGCAACACAGATCATCCCACCACCTACGTATTAAGCCCAGCATCCATTAGCTATTTTTCTGATGCTCTCTCTCCCCCTTTGACAGGCCCCAGTGTGTGTTGTTGTTCCACTCATCATTCAACTCCCACTTATTAGTGAGAACATGTGGTGTTTAGTTTTCTGCTCCTGTGTTAGCTGATGATAACAATTTCCAGCATTAGTTTAGTTTTCTGCTCCTGTGTTGTTGCTGATGAAAACAACCCCATTCATGTCCCTGCAAAAGATATGATCTTGTTTCCTTTTTTGGCTGCATAGTATTTCATGGTGTATACGGGAAATATACCACATTTTCTTTGTCAAGTCTATCACTGATGGGCATTTAGATTGATTCCATGTCTTTACTATTGTGAGTTGTTCTGCAATGAGCATACATGTGCATGGGTCTTCAGAATAGAATAATTTGTATTCCTTTGGGTATATACCCAGTAATGGGGTTGCTGGGTCAAATGGTAGTTCTGCTTCCAGGTCTTTGAGGAATCATCCTATTGTTTTCCACATGGTTGAACTAATGTACACTCTCATCAACTGTGTAAAAATATTCATTTTTCTTTGCAACCTTGCCAACATCTGTAGTTTTTTGACTTTTTAATAATCACCATTCTGACTAGTATGAGATGGCAGTCTCATTGTGGTGTTTATTTGCATTTCTCTAATGATCAGTGATGTTGAACTTTTTTTTTTCATGTTTATTGGCTACATGTATCTCTTATTTTGAGAATGTCACTTCTTACTCTTTTTTTTTTCTACATCACATAGGTAATGTGCCAATGTCTTAAGGTTTAAGGAAGGCACATCTCACACGAGTATGAAAACCCAGTCCCTATTCTTATGAACCACCACAGGATCCTTAACCATTTTGAGTTGATTTTGTGTACAGTATAAAATAATCATATAATTTCATTCTGTTGCTTGTGAAAATCCAGTTTTTCCAGCACCATTTATTGAGGAGACAATCCTTTCCCTTTTTACCAAAAGTACCTCTTGGTACTTTTCTAAAAAATTATTTGACTGCATATATTTGAATTTATTTATGGGCTACTGTTTCACTGGTCTATGTGTCTGTTTTTATGCCAGTACCATAATGTTTGATGTACTACTATACCTCTCTAATATAATTTTAAATCAGGAAATGTGTAAGGTATCATTATTTATAATCACTAAACAAACACCCAGTATATTTTTCAAATAGCTGAAAACAAGGATTTATTGCATTTATTTTAGGCCATGGTCTCCGAGATTAAGAATTATTTTTGGTAAGATTTTCATTACCATGTTTTTCCTAATCCTATAAATATTTTTGTTTTTTCAATTTAAATCACAATCCCTATGGCTAAGATTATAGAATAATGAAATTTTCCCTTGAAGAGTCTTAGAATAATGTATTGCCAGTCCAGGGTATAATACATAGGAACTTAAAACTTTGGGAAAAAATATAACTCTTGAAAAATAAATCCAAGAAAAATATTCTCAACAATTATAGAGAAAAATAAACTTCCTTATTCATGAAACAGTGCATCAATCATTTTTTTTCAAACTGAAATAAATACAGCCTGAAAGCAGATGACAATGGATTCTCTTTGCCTTTTCATGGGATTACTTCCTCACTGATATGAATTATTTGGAACACAAATAAATGACAAAATACAACCTTGTTTGAAATTGAATTTTCAGATTGAGCAGGAGAGAGGAATGACAGTTTGTTTCACCATTAGCTATCAATCAACAAAGTATGCTAAACTGTAGAACATGTTCTCTAACTATATTTTACAGAAACATATAATGTACACTTTTAATTAACAATTGCTTTGATGCTTGGTAGATGTTTCTAAGGATTCTTCATTTTATCATTTTACTTATACACTATCTTTTGAGAACGTTGATAATAATTTTGTTCTTTTTCTTTAATCAACTTTGTACTTATGGTAATTTCTATGATGTCTAAAGTTAGTCTTTTTATTTATATCATATCCTAACTGACATTTTTCTGATCAAATGCCAAGAGCCAAAGAAGAATTGGTTTTAAGACTTACAGGGTAAGTTCTTAAAACTTACAGGGTAAGTTCCTATGGCTTTAAAATGCCTAGAAGAAAAAAGAAAATCTGCAGAAGAAATAAATTTGTTCCAAATTTTCATATAATGACATATTGAAAAATATGTGTAAGTTAAAATTTTTAAAGGTGTTCAGATATTGTTTGTTATATATTTGTTTGTTATTTAATAATATTTTCATTCTTGATTTTTTATTTTTTGAGACAGGGTCTTTCTCTGTCTCCCAAATTGGAGGGTGGTGGCACAATCTTGGCTCACTGCAGCCTTTACCTCCCACGCTCAAGGAATCCTCCAGACTCAGCTTCCCAAGTAGATGGAACTACAGGCACCCACCACCACATCCAGATAATTTTTTAATGTTTCATAGAGACAGGATTTTGCCATGTTGCCCAGGCTGGTCTTGAACTCCTGAACTGAAATGATCCTCCCACCTGAGCCTCCCAAACTGCTGGGATTACAGGTGTGAGCCACTACCCACAGCCCATTAATCTTTAAAAGCTATCTTTATCACAGCAACTGTGACTGACTTTATCCCTATTCATAGATCAAATATCAGGAATTTGGAGCGTCCCTTGTTCATTATTCTTGACTGGAAATTGAACCACCAGCCCTTGTGGATGTTACTATGCAAAGATAAATGTGAGGGTTCACCATATTTATTCAATTCTCTTCTATGGTCAGGACATCCCTGCACATAGTTTGTGTTGACTTCACTTTTTTAGCCCATCTATTAGTTGAATCTAAAGGTTATATTACAAGGATCACAAATGATGCAGAAAAAGACAAACCAGGGGAGAGAGGTTTCATTGAGCACAATGACTGGATTTCAGCCAAGCCAATCCCTCATGGACGTCAATGTACATGAGAATGACTGAAGTCAAGTATGAAAATCGTTACCTGTGGCTCATTACCCTCATTTGGTCCATGTTACCCTTTTAGGTCAAGTTTCACAGCAAGGCCAGAATTTCCAAAATGTCAAAGGCAAAGCTGCTGCCATAAACCTCATTAAAATAGAAAACCTCCTTATTAAAAAGATGTTTTATGTAATAAATGCCAACTTATAAACACTGAAAAAAGCAGCAATAGCAAATCTTTAGCACAGCTTGGTGATTCTCAGACTGAAGTTTGAATTTTAGTCCTGAGCCTGACTGTTATTTAATGGATTATGCTACATTTCTGAGAGCAGGACCACAGGGTGGCTAAAAATGTGGAGTGTGTGTGTGTGTGTGTGTGTGTGTGTGTGTGTGTGTGTGCAACATATTTTGGGAGTTCAGAAAAGTCAGGTAATTTTGCTAAATGTTTATCCTCTTAGGTCTTATCTTTATTAAAAACAATAATTATTGGGCAGACCAAGATTTTCTTTTCTTTTAACATAATAATTTGGACGTACTTCCCTATTTTGTCACAATTTTCTGTTTAGTTTATCAGTCTATTTCTGTAACTTTACAAAGTTAGATGTTTATTTCTTTAATTTTATTGTCCATATTCACTATAACTTTTTTGATGAACATAAAAATATTCCTGTTGTTACAAGGCTCCTCCCATGGTGCTGAAAAGCATTTTCATAACTAATATTTGAAAGAATGAATGAAGAAATGAATGCCTGAGGTTACAGTGCAAGGGGCAAAACAGAAGGCAAAGAAACAAGTACAAGACAGAAGCAACTGAACTAGGCCACCAGTCAGATGTGACTACATTTACATGACTTCCAGAAAAAAATGGTAACATCTAAAAATGCATTTTCATTATGTTGGCAATGGTTGAGAGAGAGAGAAAGAGTGTGTGTGTGTGTGTGTGCGCGCGCACGCACGCATGCATGTGTGTACATAAAATGATACAATAATTCCGTTAGCTTAATTCAATAACTTTTACATTCTCAGGAAATAAATAGGAGATAAAACTCATTAACAAGACTTTCTAGTGAGATTATTTTAATGACTTCTTTTAATAGTTTTACTTTAGGCATATGGTCAATCAAATGCTGTAGACTACTTAGATTTCTCTAACAGATTTCCCTAGAGGAAATCATGGCACTACAGTATCATACAAAAAGATAAGGATGTGGCAGTGACTGCTAGATGTTAACAGGAGCCTTCTTTAAGGGACAGGGGGATAAGAATATTGAACTTTTGTGCCATTAGATATAGCCATATGACTAAATAATCTAATGAAATATGGGAGAAAGCGATAGGCCACACTTCCCAGCAAGGCCCATGGAAAACTTCCTGTGTGATCTTTGCTCTCTTTTGCGTCTGCCACCAACTGATGGGCAGGACCCTGTGACATCACTTGCAGGTAAGCTGCCCAGGAGACCTTTCAGATCAAAAGGTCATGGAATGTTCCATGATTGAGTATGAAATTTCATTTGGTTCAGCAATTAAAATGCAGGAGTTTTGAGTTATGGCAATACAATCAGTACAATGATATTCTGATTAACGAACGTTTTTGAGTTACAGCAATACAACCAGTACAATGATATTCTGGTTAATGAACATTTTTAAACTAACTTTTAAATACTTTACAGAATACATTGCTGTTATAGAATAATTTCTATAATAAAAATTCTTATTTATTAAGAATAAACATACGCTAAAAATAAAAGATTTGTGCAATGAATCTACATACATCATCTACTTTAAACAATTATATACTTTCTGTTATATTGACTTTATCTTTCTTTCCGTATATGGGCATTGCTTTTTAATTTTTATTTCTCTTAATTTGAAAGTAAGGTACAGCCAGGCACGGTGGCTCATACTTGTATTCCCAGCATTTTGGGAGGCTGAGGCATTTCATCACTTGAAATGAACAGTTTAAGACCAGCCTCATCAACATGGTAAAGCCCTACCTCTACTAAAAGTACAAAAATGAGGTAGGCATGGCAGTGGGCACCTGTATCCCAGCTACTTGGAAGGTTGAGACAGGAGAATTGCTTGAATCTGGGAGGCAGAGGTTGCAGTGAGCTGCAGTAGTGCTGCTGCACGCCAGCCCAAGAAATAAACTGAGACTTCGTTTAAAAAAAAAAAAAAAAGAAAGAAAGAGAAAAAAAGGAAGAAAGTAAGCTACAGAAATCATCATACTTTTCTCCATAATACTTCAGAATGCATTTTCTAAGATAGAAAATAATAATGGTTTTCTATTGTCATCTAATATCTAGTCCACACTCAAATTCTCAATGATTTCAATAACTGCATTTTATAACTGCTTCTTGTAATTTGGAATCTGAGTCAGAATTCAGGCTCTACCTTTAGTTACTATATCTCTTTAATCTCTAAGACCAAAAGAGCACTGCTTTCTCCTACTTGTTCATCATTATTATCTTCTTTTCTGTGTGCTTTCCTTTCTTATTACCACTGTAACAAATTACCACAAATATGGTGGATTAAAACAATACAAATATATTCTCTTACAGTTCTGAAAATTAGAAGTCCAAAAAGAGTCTCAAGAGTCTAAACTCAAAATGTCATCAGAGCTGGGTCCTTCAGAGAGTCCATGAGAGTCTGGTCCTTTCCTCTTCCACTTATAGATTTCCAGCAATTCTTGGCCCCTGGACACATTCCTCTAAGCTCTGCTTCTATAGGCACATCACCTTTTTTTCTGCTGTAGCCAAGTATCCCTCTGTATTCCTCTCATAGGGACACTTGTAACTACACTGATGGCTTACTATGTAAACACCAGGATAAACTCCCCTTCTTAAGAACCCTAAACTGGGCAAGGTGACTCATGCCTGCAATCCCAGCACTTTGGGAAGCTAAGGCAGGCAGATGACTTGAGGTCAGGACTTCAAGACCAGCCT